CCTAAACCCTAAACCCTAAACCCTAAGGCGCCAACAGCTACCGCCTGTGAAGAGTTCGGCGGCATGCGCTGCGTGTGTTCACAGCCTAGTGTTTAGGGTTTGAGGGTCTACGGTTTAGGGTTTAGGGTTTGAGTTTTAGGGTTTAGGGTCCACAGTTAGGGTTTAGGGTTTAGGCGCTTGTCACAAACTGGCTACGTCGTAGCGCTTCTTTTCTTTTTGCTGCAGCAGCAGCAGCAACTCCAAAAGCAGCAGCAACAACGCCAGCAGCAGCGACAGCAGCAGCAAAAGCAGCAGCAGCAGCAGCAAACAGCAGCAGCGGGCCTGCTGAGAACTCTTTGGGCCCCCAGAAGGCCCTGAGGGGACTGAGGGCCTCTGGAAGGTCAGAAGGCCCTGCAGCTGAAAACCCTAAACCCTAAACCCTAAACCCTAAAGAGATCTGAGAAGGCTGCAGTATGTTGTGCTGCAGAGGCAACCGGCGTCTTTCAAGCTCGAAAACCCTGAACCCTAAACCCTCAACAAACCCTAAACCCTTGAGAAGCTCCAAACCCTCGGAAAACCCCAAACCCTCGGGAAACCCTAAACCCTCAGAAACCCCGAAACCCTCGGACTCGCGCAGCCACACGCCTCCTTCTTCCCAGCAGGAAACTGTGTCGGCACCCGCTGAGTTGTTGCAGGTAGGCATTAGGGTTTAGGGTTTAGGGTTTAGGGTCTAGGGTTTAGCGCTCGAGATTTAGGGTTTAGGCTTTGGGCCGATGGCTTGAGGGTTTAGGGGTTTATCAAGAGGCCAAGTCAAAGGGCAGAGTCAAACCCTGCAGACACGACTGCAGACCAGACCCTAAACCCTAAACCCTAAACCCTAAACCTTAAACCCTAAACCCTAAACCCCCAGACCTAAGCCATAAATGCTTAGGGCCCCGAAGCCTCTATCTTCTTTGCGCAGGAGTTTAGTGATGCAGCAGCAGCAGCAGAAGAAGCAGCAGCTGCAGCTGAAGCAGCAACAGAAGCAGCAGCAGCAGCAGAAGCAGAAGCCTCAACAACAACCGCAGCATCAACTGCAGCAGCAACAGCACCTGGGTCTGCAGCAGCAGATCCGTGAGCTCTGTAGCCCCTGCTTCCAGACCCTAAACCCTAAAACCTATGCCCTAAGCCATAAACCCTCAACCCCAAACCCTAAACCCTAAAGTCCAAACCATAGGCTTAATACTTAGTGCTTGGATGTACGTACAGCTCGGCGGTTTACAAGGCAGATGCGCTGCGGTTCGCTGAGAGTAAGTTGGAGAGGTTTAGGGTTTAGGGTTTAGGGTTTAGGGTTTAAGGCTGGGGGCTGAGGGTCTAGGGGTTTAGAATCAAGAGTCTAGGGTTTAGGGTTTAGGGTTTAGAGTTTTGGGGTTTAGGTGGGCTTCGCAGAGTACTTCGAGTTGAAGCACAGAATGACAGTGGCAGAGAACAGGTGGAAGAGAAAGGAGGAGAAGCTGCAGGCAGGTTTGAAGGGTTTAGGGTTTAAGGTTTAGGTTTTAGGGTTTAGGGTTTAGGGTCTATTTTTTTCTTTACCTTTGTCTCCCCTTTCCTTCTTTTTTCCTTCAGCTTCAAATCAGGCAGATCAAAGCAGCAAATAAACGCAACGGAAATGAACACCGCTTTCAAGTGACCCAAGCCCTAAACCCTAAACCCTAAACCCTAAACCCTAGAAGTTCAATCGATGAACAGGGACTTGAGAGCTTTGCAAGGTTTTGCATGCATGTGGCATTTGACTTAATGAGAAGTTCGTTTAGAGCCTAGGGTCTAGGGTTTAGGGCTTAGGACTTAGGGTTTAGGCTTTAGGCTTTAGGGTTTAGGGTTTAGGGTTTAGGGTTTGGGGTTTGCCGAAGGCCCTGAAGGAGAAGGAGAGTCTGGCGAGGCGCCGAGCGGCTCTTTTTAAAGAGTGAGATTTACCTTTTTTCTTTTTTTCCTTTTTTTAAATTTGTTTCTTCTATCTTTTTATTTTCTTCTTTTTGTTTTATTTTCCTTTTATATATCTCCTTTTAGTTTTTTGTCTTTTCTCCTTTTCTTTCCCTGCTCCTGCCTCACGCATTGCGCCAATTCGGGGGTTTAGGGTTTAGGGTTTAGGGTTTGGGGCCGGTTTGCGTGCTGTGCAGGAGGCTTCAGGGGGTCACAAAGGCAGCGCAGGAGGAGAGGGTGAGGCTTTCTGTAGCAAGGGTTTAGGGCTTAGGGTTTAGGGTTTAGAGTTTGGGGTTTAGGGTTTAGGGTTTGGGGTTTGATACCTTTTCGCAGCCGTGGGCCGTTTGCTGTTCTATGAGCCTCCCGGTTTTTTTGCATGAAGCTTTAATACTTTGTTCAAGGGTTTAGGGTTTAGCGTTTAGGGTTTAGGGTTTAGGTCCAGCCAGTAGTGAGTGCTGAGGGTTTAGGGAGTGAGTGGAGGGTTGAGGAGAGCCTCTCTCGCGTCACGAGCCAGCGTCTAGGGTTTAGGGTTTAGAGCTAACAGTTACGGTTTAGGATTAAGGATTTAGGGTCTAGGGTTTAGGGTTTGCGTTTCAGAGCCGCCTGAGCGCCCGCGCTGTTGCCCAAGAGAAAAAAACCCTAAAGGAGCGGCTGCTGCTGCAGCAGCAGCAGCAGCAGCAAGAGAAGCAGCGGGAGACAGCGCAAACCCTGCGTTTTCTTTCTCTACAAATTGACCTTGCAAACAAGAAATTACAGGTCAGGGTTTAGGGTTTAGGGTTTAGGGTTTAGGGTTTGGAGCCGAGGGACTACGGTTTAGGGTTTAGGGTTTAGCGCTTGAGGCGTAACCATTTGGACATTTACGGTTTGGTAGTAGGCGAGAAAAGCTCAGAGTTTAGGGTTTAGGGTTTAGGGTTTAGAGCCCAGGGTTTAGGGTTTAGGGTTTGGAGCGTGTTTCCAGGCTCTTGAGCGTTTCGGAATGTCCCTTCTGAAGCTCTACAGAAAATTTCTCACTTCAAATAATTTGAGACCCCTGCGTACCCTAAACCCTAAACCCTAAATCCTAAATTCTAGACCACCCTGGAACTTAGACCCTAAACCCTAAACCCTAAACCCGATGTCCTGAAACCTCACTTCCTGCTATGGGCCGAAGTAGAACAGAGGCGCTAAATCCGACGTTTTAGAACCTAGGGTTTAGGGTTTAAGGATTAGGGTTTAGGGTTTGTGCCGCAGGAGAAATGGAATTAGGGTTTGCAGAATGGCTGCAGCACATCAAAACCACAGAAAAAGATTACACAGCTGCTGCTGCTGCCCTTTCAGCCATTAGGATAGCGGGGGCCCCTGCTGGGACCCCCATGGGGACCCTTTTGGGGGCCCCCC